GTACGTCACAGATTCTAATGACCCTGGCACCCAGGGCGACCTTTAGTTATTATATTTTTGTTCTCTTACACCTTAGTCGTTAATGTAGAAAAACAAATTCGTTTACTTTGTGGACCGCAGCAGATTCACAAATTGTCTTCCAGTTTTTACGTCTGAATCATATTTCATTCTGATGACCTGCACGGGCTCCGTTCATTTTCCTGTGTACATGTCTGTCTGCCTCACGGGCGGCCCCTAACCAAGACCTCAGTCTAGAGGACGTGTCTTCTAACTGCTTAGTTTTATGGGTTCTTTTGCTCTAAAGAATTTAACCATGCTGTTTTGTTTGCAATTCACTTAAAAACAAAAAAACCTCACATTACTTTCCCAACAATTCGTATTGGTCAGAATCTCATGGTTTTCGTGAAATGTCTTAGAGAGGAAAAGACCTCGTGTTGGAGGGGAGGTGACACGTGGCGGGACCCGCGCGTCCGCACGGAGCTGGCAACAGGGCGACTTGCGAAGGCCCAGGGTCTGTGTGTTGCTGAAGTTTGACTTACACGCCTGCCTGCCTGTCACCCTTATCGAAATTCTTCTCTTTTAACAAGCAGTCCATCACTTGAAAGCATTTGGTTAGCAACATTTTATGCCGCTTTTTTCCTCATCCCCTCCACCCATCCCCCACGTGTGAATACCCATGCGCGTGCACGCACGCGCGCGCACACACACACACACACACACACACACGTCCGCTCTCCATGGAGGGCCAGGAGGTCCTTGAAGTCCATGAGCTCAGGCTCACGGGACCAGGATGTGAGCGCCCACCAAAAGGTGCCCAAAGCATCTGGGGATGAGCCGGATGGGGGCTAGACAAGCCAAAATAAAACCAAATACGTTAAAACTGCAGGAAAAGCGCTCAGCAAAAGAAAGCTTAGACACAGACAAACCAATAAAGTGAGGGCCATGGCAGGTGAGGTGGGCGGGAAAGCCGAGACCGCCAGTGAGGGAGGGGAGAGGGACGCCGGGGCGGGGGGCTCTGTCCCAGGGACGGGGGTCTGACACGCGAGGGGGCCTGGCGGGAGCAACTGGGCATGAATCAACAGAAAGGATGGCACAAAGAGAAGGAAGCATCGCAAATTAAAAAGAAGGCATGTAGCATGTGCCTACCATTTTCCAGATAAGAAGGGGCCGTACCTTCTGACGGGTCCAGGCGGCGGGCCCGCCGCCCGTGTTTGGAGTTGTTGTGCACAAACATGTTGTCAGACACGGCCAGCACGTGGCCGTCCACGTTGACCGTGGTCGACACGACAACCTGCAGAGACAAGCGCAGGTGAAACCGGAGTCGGAGGTGGAGGCGGGGCCCTGCCAGGTGTCAGGCCCCTTCAGGGGTGCCCGGCAAGCCAGCCCCCAAGGTCTCGAGCCGGGCACCCACTCCTGCTCCCGGATCCCCCTCGAGGCCACGTGCGCGCACAGCGTTTTTGGCTAATGGGGTGTGTGGGCAGTTTTGCTGTGACTCAGGATTGCTTCTCTTCCAGACCCGCTGCGCTAATTACAGTTTAATCTCCTGTTATGCTAACAAGTGAATTCAATCCACAGAAATATTCTTCTCACCATTAGCTTCAGAGACACCCCTCCAGCCACTCACTTTAAAGCTATTTTGATTGATCTGTTCACATATTGATGAGATAGTTTATCTAATTAAAATGAGTTCACTGGAGACTGTCCTTCCTGGAAGAGTTGTGAGGATTCAGAGTTGCCCCCCTCCCAAAAAAAAGGCTTCATAAATCAGAAGCTCCTTCTGCTACCCACATCCTAGCATCAGATGATCCCTGGGTCAATGTCACAGTTACGTCCAACATCTGGTAATGAACGTTTTTGCATCTGAAAAGGCCGAGCTGAATAGGAATAAAATGGTTTCAGTGCAGGGAAAGTGCCCTTTCTCAAGTTCATGGTGAAGGATGGCGAGGATGGCTAGCACCTGCTCTACCAAGGGAGTGTGATCCTGTGGGAGGGAAAGGCGCGGCCCTGAGGTCCAGGTTCGGGGTGGGGGTGGCCGGGGAAGAGATGGGGGCTGGGCTCCCCCACATGCTCAGTGCTTCACAGAAGTAAAAAAGGAAGTCACACTGGCAGGGACGGCCTTGAGGACCCCAGACGTCCTCCCAGGGGAGCTTGGAACAAGCACCCCAGAATTGGCACCCCCCACCTAACGGACCCAGGAAATAGGAAATTACACCGGCCTTGAGCGTTTCCTTGGACAGAGGCGGGTCTGTATACTGCATTATTTCCAGAATAGCTGGGGTAGCACAGATGTGAGCACAGGTTCAGTCTGGGTCTTACATCAGGACCTGGGGGCCGGAGCCTGGATTTGGGGTGGAGAGAGCCCGGTTCTTTGCCACGTTTGGGCAGTGGAGAGGGCTGGTACCACCTAGAGAACCACGACCCCACGGAGAAAAGCTGGGCAGGAGGGTGGGCACACGTCAAGGCATGCCACGTATGGTGAGTTCAAAGCCACAGCTACAGTGGACCTCCGTTAATGACGAGCCAGACCGATGCAAGATGCTAATAACAGAGGAGAGTCGGGGGGAGGGGAGGCCAGGGGCTCATGGGAATTCTTCACTTCCTGTGAAATTTTTCTGTAAACCTAAATAAAACTGCTCTCAAAAAGAAAAGTCTACTAGTTAAGAAAAAAATGATACATAAAAGTGATTGTAAATAAATACGATTTTTTAAAAAGCAAAGCTGCACACTTATATGTTAATACATCTGGGAGTAACTGATTTTTTATAAAAATCTCAGGCCCCACAAGAAGCCCGTGAAGCAGGACCGGTACCCACTGCACCCACAGTCCCGCAAAGGAAGGGGACACCTTCCCAGATGACTCTCTCTGGCTGTGGGCACTGCCAAGATCGTTAAAGTCTCCACAGCATCAGGCCCCTCTGGGCCTCAAAGTAATGTCAGAGCCACCACAGCATCCCCGGGTCCAGGCTCAGACGTCCCAGCATCATCTCTCTCAACTATCTCCGCTGCCCTAGCAGGGGTGGCTCTGACCCCACTCTGGGGCCACTACTCGCCTGGCAGCCTCTACACAGGGGACGCAGGGCTGCCGGGGTCACAAAGGCACCCTCCTGGCAGCCTGTCCACCAGGCCCCGCCCTGGGTGCAGGGGGACCTCTACCGACAGTTCCCCCGAATGGGGTGCAAAGACACAGGACTAACCCCGAGCTGCAGACTTGATTCTCTTTACGTTCCTAGACCGTGAAAAGTTAAAGAAACAAGAAAGGGTAAAAATCAAAATAAAAAGGGACACTGTCGGGCTTCCCTGGTGGCGCAGTGGTTGGGAGTCCGCCTGCCGATGCAGGGGACACGGGTTCGTGCCCAGGTCTGGGAAGATCCCACATGCCGCGGAGCGGCTGGGCCCGTGAGCCATGGCCGCTGAGCCTGCGCGTCCGGAGCCTGTGCTCCGCAACGGGAGAGGCCACAGCAGTGAGAGGCCCGCGTACCGCAAAAAAAAAAAAGAAAGAAAGAAAAAAAAAGGGACACTGTCTTTGCTCCGTCGTCTCTATATAGGTCAGTCACCAAGGGAAAAGCATAGCTGAGCAGAGAAAGCAGACAAGCTGTGTTTGTTTCTCGGCCGGGCCAGCCCTGCGGTGCACCTACAGAAAGGTGCTGAGATCGTGGTGCCCGCTGGAAACGTCATGTAAGCCCTGATCTAGTGTTAAGTCCAGTTAAACCTCCTGAGAGGCAGAGAGATTAGCTAAAGAGAGGGAGGAAGTCCTTCTAGTAACTGCGGGCTCCACCTGCGACTGACGCTGCCTCAGCCACTGGCGAGCCAGCGTGTGACCTCCACTCTGCTCGATGGACCAACGTGAAGCCTCGCACAGGAGGAGCGGAAGCCCGCCCCACTGTCTGCAAGAGACGCCGCCCCCAGGGTCAGGGCATGGCTGTCGGCGGGTCCACCGGCTCCACCGCTCTGACTGGCTGGTTGGATGTCAAGACAGATGTCACATTTCGCCTGAAGACTGAAGCATAACTTACATTTCTAAGAAAAAGCCTCGAGTGATTTGATGGCAAACTAGCCTAAATCCCACAGAAGAAGTATCTGGTAACATCCTACCTAGGAGTGAGCTCCCAAATTCTTCTCTGGTGGGTACGGACCAGGAGCCGCCTGGTTTTGGATCCCAGCCCAGATATTTTTACAATTAAAATCAGCAAAACAATCCATCATGTTTACTGAGCACCCTTCACCCCGCAGTCACCTCCTAGTCGTTCACAAACAAAGGCAAGAAGACCATGACTGCATCAGAATTCATCCCTGAGGCCCAACTGGCTCTCCACGCCTCTCCTCAAGAGGAAATCCTCTGATCTGAGGATAAGTAACCAGAGGACTAACGTTAGCCTGGGTTCAGGAACACGGTCTAGCTCCGAGGTGTGGAATTAAGGAGGCGAGAACAGCCCAGCCTCAGGGGAGGGACGCTGAGCTGGGGAGACATTCTGGAATTGGTAGAGGCCTGCATGGAACAGGTGCAGCCCCCTCAGTCCTGAGTACACCCCATATATTACCTAGCGGTCCTCCCCTAGCACAGATCAATCCATCCCTAAGGAAGAGCTTCAGCGTGGGCTCCAAAGTCTAACCAAGTGAACAAGCATGAAGAGCAAGGTGCAACTGAGGAAACAGACTAAGTGAGATGCTAACCTTATGAGGACTCTACTTGCAAAACTCCTAAAACAGTCATTTTGAAACACACCCACCGGACTCACCATGATTGAATGTAAGACAGACTCCACCTTAACCCACAGCCCCGATCACTCTGATTTCGGGGTACCCCGCAGCCCGACACAGAGGGCCAGGGCGGTGTGCACTGCCCCAGGAGGCAGAGGCACACCCTGTCATCAGAGCAAAAGCGCAGGTCACGTTCCCAGAGCCAGCTTCACTTGGTCACGGGCCACGACTGGGCTCCACGACTCTGGCGGACTGGGGTGCCAGACCATTTTTAAAGCATTCGATTTAAATGTTCTTTCAAATGAGCCCCTCCTGGCTCATTTGCACCCAAAGCCCCTGAGAACTAAAGGTTGGTTTCCGAACAATTGCAACTTCAGGGAATTCAACGTTCACAGTGTTAAGTCCGGACCGCAGTCCAGAATCGTGTACCTGGAATCTTCGCATGTCCCGAGGGTTGCCTGCATTCTTCAAACAGTTCTGATTGCACTTGAGGAAAAACTTTAGAAAGAATCTATAAAAATACAAAAAATGGATATTCGTTAGGGTTAGCAGACAAAAGACACAGACTTTTTTTGAAAGACACTCTCGCATGGGGAGCCGACCCCCATACCACCTGCTGGCTGCCCCGTAGGGGGCGATAGGGAGAGAGAGAGAACTCGGAGAGGCCAGGCAGGCACCTCTGGGTCCACTGGCCACTGTGGAAGATCTCCACACAAGGAAGCGGTGACTTACATTTGCCTGGACACTGGGGGTTTCCAAGCTTTATCATAACAACCGTGACTTAAATTGGCCATTTCTCACCTGGATCTTTGCACGACCATTAATCACTGGGGACCTGTCCACCCCAGAGAGGGCTGCCAGCTTCAGCAAATAAAAACACAGGATGCCTAGTTAAATTTGAATTTCAGATAAACAACGAATAATTTTTTAGGCTAGGCCTGTCCCAAAGCATACCTATCCTAAAAAAAAAAAAATTATTTCTCCGAAATTCAAATTTAACTGGACGTGCTGAATTCTACCTGGCAACTCGAGCCCAGGGACCATCACTGCCTAGGTAAACACGATTTTAAAGATGGGCTTTTCAAGTTACAATAGGTATGACTCTTAAGAGAAGATCTGGGGTGCTGTTTCAAGGGCAGCGACGACTTCTATGAAGTCGTTGGTTTTAAGGGACCTACGTGTGGTTTTAAGGGACCGATCAAGGCCCCCCCCCACCCCCCCACCATGAGGCAAGGAAACCGTCGCTTAGGGGGAGGGGACCAGGCGCTGCCCTGGTTGGAGGGGAGGCTAGTCGCAGAGCTGTTTCTGCTTCCCGCCAAGGCCTGGCCTTGTTCTGAAGCATGACGTTTCAGGGGTCCTGACAGAGCGTTGAGATGCTGTGACAGAAACATCATCACCTTGTCCTCCCCATTCCCGCGTGCTCTGTGACAAACATGGAAGCTCTGGCTCACAACAGGAACGCGTGGACCCCGGGAGGCCTGGCTGCACCGCCAGCCACGGGAGAACGGGGGGTCTCGGCCCCGCACCAGCTCGGCTCGTCTGGAGAAGGCCGCCCGCATCCTGGGGCCTCTGGGCTGACACCCTGTCCACGAGGCTATCGACAAACGTCTCCTCTATCTTCTTTCCAAGTATCCTCTGTCCTACTGGTTGATGACTCATTTTTTATGAAGTTTCACACGACTTCCCTGACTTCAAGCGGACAGTCAAGGTTCCTTGCAGCTGACTATCATATCAGAAAATACAAAGATCTGGGAGACTGAGATGCACGTCTCCAGCTGCATTCCCAACATGCCCTGGACGACTTTCCACCAGGGCAGAGGAAAAGCCGACGGATGGGAAGAAGAATAGTGGCCACTGAACTAAATTTCCTTACAGCCCGCACGGCCTCACTATTTTAGGCCAGAATTTACATCTTTTATTAACTCGCCTCACCTACACACTTAGCTCGCCGCGCCTCTGAACACCATCTGCCGTCAGCATACAGGAGGCTGCCCGGCCGTCCACCCACCAATTTCTAACAACCACGGTGCAATTAAGCTCCACGCACTCCGCAGCGAGGGAAATGAAGCGCACCTGCGGCCACCCTGCGCCCAACCGCATGAGGGCCTAACAAGGTGAGGGCGGCACGAAGTTATCGTCCTGTCAGGCAATTAGGTTCTCACTTTGGGGGCAGCCACATGGCGCAATTACGCCTCACGTTACCACCCAGCTAATCTCCAGGCAGGCGCCGGCCGGAGCCGCTCATCTGCACGGAGCCGACGGGGGGAGCTTTCGTGCGCTCTGATTTCTGCCCCCGCCAGAGGAGGTTTCTTTCAATTCCGTGATGTCTTTTTAGCCAGCTCTCACCCTTTCACCTCCCGGAGAGCAGAGCGGGCACTGAGCCTGAACGGCCCTCGCCGGGCATGGTCACTGTAGGCGTGAGCGGTCTGGCCCCCGTGGGCCTTCACTACCGCCAGCTGCAGAAATGGGCAGAGTTGGGCGCTGGGCCCCCTCACCACCCCGAGCATCTCGGGGTCAACTCCGGAGCAGCTGGGTGTGTGTGCACGCACACACACACTTACACGTTTTGGGTGCGTAGGCAACGGTAGGATTCTTTTCAAAGTTTCTCAAAAAGCAGCGCGAGGACTTAGAAAGACCTGCAGGTCTGGAGCGTACGGCCCTACAGAGCAGGATCCCTCCCGGGCACTCGAGCCCCAATTACACAAACGAAATAAGGCCCAACGTGCGCGGGAACGGACACAGGTTGGGCCCTTATGGAGGGAGAGGAGCCTTGCGCTTAGCGTTCACCCTCATTTCGGTTCCTCGAGGATCCAATCAGGCCTCCTCGAGGCGGGCGGCACGGTCCAGCCAGCACGTGGCTCCCGACCCCGCGCACCGTCACGTCCGGGGCGAGCGTGTGCCTCTGCTAGCGAGGGCTCGCGGGCCTTGGGGCGTGCGGGCAGGGTGAGGAAGGAACGTGGACGCGGGAAGTCAAACGGTGGTTCTCATCCTTTACTCAATTACCCTTTAATTGGCTTTTTTTCTAAGAACTATCTGACAGGCACTTTACATATCTCACTTCTAGAGTCTGGTACACAGAGGATTTAATACTCTTGTTATGAAAGGAAAAATCTTTCCTATGTCAGAAAATCTTTGGCTTCAACACCAATAAACTCTTTATTACTGCTAACCATGGATTTGCTGCTCGATGGCAAAGAGGCGATAAAAACTCTAACCTGTCATTAGTACATTACGCTTAATTGTGTACAGTGTGCTCCCGGCTGCATCTGTTGGCCCATCATCAAAATGACCATTATGTACACTAATTCCCTGACCCTGTCTTTATTTCCCTAAAGAGTCATCATCTTTCACAGTAGGTACCAGAGTAAATCAAGCTTGAAATATGGGCTTTATTTACTTGTTTCTCCCAGGCAGGAGGGGAAGCAGCAGCTCAGGGCAAACGGCTACACATCAGTCGGAACTCCCCAGTAACGTTCTGCTCGGAAATGGCGCACAAAATCCTGGAAAGTTCTCAGCAGCGATTAGAAGGGGGAAGGTGTGATCTCATTACTCTGGAAGTCAGGTTTCCTCTTTTAGGGCGCACGGGGATCAGCAGAGAAGCCACGTGGGTGATCTCCTTCGCTCTTAGGAGAGCTGGTAACAACAGGCTGCCTCTCCCGACTCTGGGGCATCCTGTGAAGACGGGCCCAGGGGTCCTCTATCTGGGAGGCAGGGATGGGAGAGCTGCTGGGTCCAGACACTGAGAGCTTGAGCCTGAGCTGGAGACTCCAAGGCCGCCCTCCCTTCTGCAGGGACAGTTATGCTCAGCAGAAAGTTCAGTTTGGTCTCGGTGGCATTTGTGCCAGCACCCTCCCCAATAATGCCAGTGCCCCCCGAAGTGCTCAGCGGCAGGACACGGGCACCTTCAGCGGGGCTCGAACAGCAGGACTGACTGTGTTAGCTGGAGCCCACTCTGGGGGCTTATCATGCAATAAGGGGCGAGCCCTCACCTCAGTAACGGATTTCAAAGTCTGCTCCCCTTCTGTGTGTTTAAGCTATGAATTAGTTCATTTATATTTACTTTTATGAAGCTGATTAACCAGGGCTTCTCTATCTGATGAAAATCATTTTAATTGTAGTGTTAGGCTCCTGTGTAATATCCATTACATTATGAACTGTTTAAATTCTACATGGGTATTGTGTAAATTGGCCCTTTGTGGGCCAGCAGGCAATTAGGACCAAACACTCTCCTTTAAGCGGCTAGAGAACTTTGTGGTGTTGTTCAGGACAATCAGAAACAAAGGAGGCTGTTTAATTGTAATTTAATGGAATATCAAGGAGTCCGTGGCATTAGACGCTGGCAACAGAGAGCAGGAGAGAAAAATTAACTGCAATTATGTTTGATTAAAGCTATCCTTCTCAATAATCAGCGGTCCTGACAGGCCATGGGGCTCTAGTGGGTTCCAGGATGGCAAAAGGTGTTGAGCAATATTAGGGCCAATAAAGGGGGTATTAGCATCGCTAATTACAGCCCTGCAAAACCTGTAAAGGGGGCCTCTGTGCATTGTAACATGTGAAGTAATTGGCCAAGGCCGTCATCAATTACATAAGGAATGAATTTGGTTTGTCAGAGAAAAGCTGATGAGATGCATCTCCTCTGACACCGGCCCCTTCCCTCCTGTTTCCAGTAGCTAAGAACTTGCCCACTCTTACCCAAAGCTGCAACTTACCAATGGCCAAATCACTGATAAAATTATCTTGCCAGCAAGCGTTAGGTAATTAATACCACTCATCCTCGCCGCCTTCCCTGCCACTGCCGTTCCTCACCTAGCCGAAGCCACTAATCATGTCATAATGATTTCTTTCCCTCTGGTCAAAGGAGAAATGGATTGTCTCCTTAGAAATGCAGTGGGCTTGGCGTGCGCACCCTGGTGATTGAGGAGAGAAAGGAAACTTGGAGCTGTCACAACGGCTGTCCTTTGCGTGTGGCTATCACACGTCTGCAACTACCTATTCGCACGCAGCGTCTCAGGAAACACTATATGCAGAGATTTAAAAAAACTTTTTTAACCGTCGAGTTTTAGACTGTCTCGGGGCCTGGTCTTGCGGGTGCTTGGAAACAGGAGTGACCGCAAGCTTCAGGGCCATGAGGCTGCAAGCCGGGATACCCAGGTGGGCCCCCTGAGCACAGGTGACGGGCACACCCAGGACAGAGCTCCGGCTTCCAGCAGCCCCTCCCGCATGTGAGCCCAGCCTCAGTCCGAGCGGCCACGGCCTCCTCTCCTGGCCCTCGATCACAAGTGACGTGGGAAACCTGAGTCCAGGGTCGAAAAGTATTGGTATCTGGGGCAGGGCTGGAGGTCCCCATTTTCCACCTTAAGGCTGAGCTCTTAACAAGCAGCAAACTAATGCCGCTGGATAGGCCTCCACGTCACCCATCAAAACTCCCAGAGCATTTGTGTGTAAATCACGGCGCTGACAGCTTCCGGGGTTCCAGGAGGGCAGGGACCCCATTCCCGATCGAGCCCCCAT